GCCAATAGTCTTCCTTTATTTCGAGCGAATTAGGTTTTGTATATTTTCTTATTACTTCATGTATTACAAGTACATAATTATTTTGACTTAAGCCAATTTACTTTCAAATATGCTGCATTACATACATATGTATTTTCCATTTCCCAACCAATATTTTTATTAATTTGTGATTTGACAATTATTTATTTAAATTAATGAATAGAAAATTTTACCAATATTTTGTATAATATACCACTTATCGACTTAAAACGTACCTTGTTAAAATAATAAAATGTAAACTATGAATAATTGTTCCTGCAAAAGATATTGCATTGATGAGAATTTAATGCATATTTAAAATTATATAATTTAATATTCATTCTTCATGACGACTGAAGTTATTTCTTTCTGGTATTATAGTTTATTTCATTGGGATGTATACTTATTTAGGATAAGTCGGAACAACAAATATAATACCTTATATGCATGTAAATAAAGTTTCTTTTGAGCTCATTTACTTTTAAAAAGCCGATGCATTATTTCATTATAGCCATCTTCGATGCGACAACATGTATTGTGACGGAACGAACAAAAACTGGCATAACAAAAATAGCTGGAGAAATAAAGAGTTCTCTCTTGCAGAGCTCAAGCAAGGCGAGTAGAGTAGTGAAGTGAGTTGAAAACAGAACTAGAAACACAAGTCAAGGAATAAAGAACTAAGTAATTTCGTAGAAATGTATGTAACTGAACGGCCTATGCCATTAAATCATCGCCAAAACGAAGCTGTGTTATTTAAATGAAAGCTAGCTAAAGGAAAATAATAACATTATGAGCCATAAAATAATTTTAAAATTATATGTAGTTGTATAAACTAAATTTAAATATTCTTAAATTTAACATAAATTAAACTAAATATTTATTGACTATGATAATAATTATAATGTTGCTACCTTCAATCGTGATCTCGTTCTTATAAAGAATTTGTAGGCCTTATCTCTAGTTAAAATTACTCGAAATACATTGTAGTTTGTATGCAAATATGTTTGCATATTCACACACACAGTTCAATGTTGTAACTAATATTTCAGTACCTAAAATAATACTTTTGGCAAAATCAATGCTAACAAATATTCCGAACTAAATATAATATTAACACTTACATACATATAGGTATATAGACGTGGCTGTATGAATGCATATACCAGTTTCACCTAACGGTTGCTTGTATCCCCCAAAACACATCGAGTAGAGTTATGTACTCGTATATACATATAAATTATTAGGATGACGATATGAGTTGAAATCCGGGTGACTGCCGTTCCGTTCGTCCGTACATCCGTCCGTGCAAGCTGTAACTTAAGTAAAAATAAAGTATCATGATGAAACTATTTACACATAATCCTTGGCACCGTAGGAAGATCGGTATTGTATCGCTCATAAAACACCATTAATCGAAAACCTATAAACTGCCCAAATTAATAAACAAAACTAATTTGGTACATCAAACCGCATTAAGGAGTGACACCTGTAGTTTACAATCTTTAAAAGTGGGCGTGGCTCCGCCCCTAATAAGTTTACTGTATAAATCTCAAATCATTCAGCCTCTTTTTAGCCCCCATTACGATAGTGTGAAAATGGGGAAATCGGATGATAACTACCTAAAGTGCGATAAACCAATAACTAATTGCGTCAGAGAAATTAAATTTTACTTCGGGTTGGTACGAAAGGGCTTATAAGAGCCGGTGTCCAAATTGAAGGTGAGTGTAGCCACGCCACATTAAGATAAAAACTCATTGCTCGGAACCTCCTGGACCGAACTGAGTACATAACTTTATCTTGATATCCTTATCTACTACAACCTCCTATTAACCATATAACATAACTTTGAATTCCATCAGATTCTTTTACTTTCCAGGACCAATGAAAAATCGAAATAAAACTTTGCGCACATAGTAACATTAAAATATGCCTTGCCAGGTCTAAAATTATTAAAATCAGGCCATAAGCCCCTGATACCGCAGATGTGGACCTCCGTGCCTATGACTGACTTTTTACTGAAAATATCGGTCAATGTGTGAGATATAAAATTGCGATTCGGATGGAACCTATTCTTATAAAATTATGCCTGTATGTCAAAAATGGGTGAAATCGGTTATATTTTCCTTAGTACCCATACACTTAATAGAATGATTTTCGAACTTCCGGCTGACTTTATACCGCATATATCGGCAAATATGTTAGTTATCTTAATAAATTAAATATATGACACGATCATAACCATTGCGGTACAAAGACAGAAGAGATTCTAATTTCATTAAGATAACTTACTTATTGACTGATGTATGTAGTATAAAGTTAATCGGACGTTCGAAAATGTTAATATAGGTTAGTGAAATATTTAACCATTTTCGATACAAGGAACATTATTTTAGGAATATATTACCTCTGAATTTCAATTCCAGTATAAATGACCGATAGTTTCCCTATAAATCAGACATAAGCATTGAAGTCTACAAATTTGGAATCTGGGCAAATTTATCGTGATATCTTCATTGGTGCATTATTTACTACTGTATTGTGAAAGATTCATATTATATTTAAAATTTTATATATGGGTTTATTAAATTCACCCATTTTTACAGCGTGAAAGAACGAATGTTGGAACAATGGTACACACTACAATTGGTTGAAATGGTATTGTTATTCCTGAGATATGGAATTTCATTATTAAAGGGCGTAATACGCCCTGACCGATTTCTACAACTAGTTCTATGGAGCATTTATGTACCATCTTCGAAAGTAGTATTTAAGTCAGTTATAGCACATTTAATAGTTTTAATATAGCCGTTTTATCAGGGTGGGAGTGGTTATCATTTGATTGTGCCCATTTTCACAGTATGTGAGGAGGAGCTGGAAAGTCTGTTTCTAGCAAGTTTGGTCGATTTAGCGTTAGGGTTTGTGAGATATATGCTTTAAGCTTATTAGGGAGCGTGCCACTCCTACTTTTAAAAATTTTCAAAACCGATGTCTCTCCCGTGATCCTGATAATTTATATACTTTGTATACTATATCTAATTATGTATCTATCTTGATTAGTTTTCGGTGTCAAACAAACGTTAGATGAATAAAACTATTACACTATACAATGTTTCGAGATTATAAAAATGTTGCGTAAGAACTCAACACTCATTATTAGACGAAACCGTAAATGGATTACAGTCAGGTCATCTTGATCAAATTTGACTCGGATTACTCCATTTAAAATGCGCGCAAACGGAATCGATAAATATTTTTCCTAGATTGATACAGCCTTTTTGTGTTCGTGTAAAGTTTGATCTATGTCCAATAATGTGTTTTGGCAGCTCTTTGTTTACGACGCGAACAGTTTGTCTGGCGATTTTAGCTTCTAAAGAAAAATTGAACAATTGTTGAAAATTTGTCAGTGTAATTACGACTAGAATCGTCGATAATGTTTTAGAAGTATTTTAAGGAGTCTACTTAATCACAAACACAAGTATTTAAGTGACCCAAAGCATTTAGTGAACGTTGTGAAGCCATAAAAACTTGAATCCTGCGAGTCGTCCATCCACCTCTGGTCGAACATCGAAAAGTTAAAGAAGCAGTGCCTGAAAATCGTCGTGTTGCAAGTAGAGATCGCAAAAGAGATGCTTGACAAAAACTGAAAACCTACATTCACCAAACGTATCGGTACTAGTAATGAAGGCGATAATAAAATTTTTATAAAATCCGTAAAATTTTTGGTTAGTCCGGTCAAGGTGATATTGGTATTTGGTAACTTTTAACTACAAGTATAATACATCATTGACTCATGTACTTTCATTACTATATTTGCTTCGTGTGTGGATATTTACATTCAAATAACAAATGAGATATACAGACGAGTAAGCGATAGAAACTCAACCAAATGGGCTTATTCTATTTTTATGGGTATATGAGGACAAAGTCAACCAAAGAATCGGAGATCATTATATTTAGCATATGAGGTTTAGGCCAAAGTCTAGACCGATTCGTTCATATTCAGCGTAAAACCATATTATTTTTCAGAAAATTTGTTTACATAATATTATTAAAATAGCACACATATTAACCAATATCGGATATAAAAATATTCTCTCTGACTTTATTAATATACCACACAGATTAAATGATGCATATGGTATAAAGTTAATCGAAACTTTATATTAGGTATATGGAGGGCAAGTGGAAGTACAGACCCAATTTGATTCATTTAGGCATACATGAGATTATGCACTAAACATGATGTTATGCACTAAATGTGGTTGAAATTTTCGAGAATATAGGAGGATATGAACTTTAATGCTTCTGACGTATGTATTTAGTGAGTTATCTTATTATTAATAGTTGTCAATATAATTCTTATAGACAGTACAGACAGGACAGACAGTCAGGCAGTCCCCAGAATTCAGCTAGTCTCAACATCCTGAGGATATAGCATTCGAAGCCTACAGAACACTTTTATATGTCAGTTTTATATACCCAAAATAAGAATGCGAAGGCAATAAATAACTTGATGAAATATGAAACAAGTTTAGAAGTTTCCAGTTGGCTAAAATCGATCTCCATCTAAATAAAAAAGATGAAGAAGAATGGAGAATACAAATGATATTTCAAATTTAGTTAAAAGAAACACATTTTCATTAGAAATACTTTTCAATGTAACAATCGATATTGTGAAAAAGCCGTAAATAAGAAAATCATAATCAATACATATGTTTCAAGTTTTTATTTCAATATATTTATAGATTATTGTTACAATATGGATGTACATATGTATGAATGTATGTAGATGATTATGTGCTTAAAGGCTTGAAATGTAAACACATATAAAAGTTCTTGTAAAAGTTTCCGGTGTTTTAGATACCTTTTATTGCTAGATATACATTTGTAATTTTAGCATTTCTACGAATACTTCTTTACGAAATATCTTTGTTTGTATTTAAAAATTAATAACTTTCTTGCGTTAAAAAGTAGTAGGAGTGTTTGTAAATATATGCATAAATCTGCCAATAGTCTTCCTTTATTTCGAGCAATTAGGTTTTGTATATTTTTCTTATTACTTCATGTATTACAAGTACATAATTATTTTGACTTAAGCCAATTTACTTTCAAATATGCTGCATTACATACATATGTATTTTCCATTTCCCAACCAATATTTTTATTAATTTGTGGATTTGACAATTATTTATTTAAATTAATGAATAGAAAATTTTTACCTAATATTTTTGTATAATATACCACTTATCGACTTAAAAACGTACCTTGTTAAAATAATAAAATGTAAACTATGAATAATTGTTCTTGCAAAGATATTGCATTGATGAGAATTTAATGCATATTTAAAATTATATAATTTAATATTCATTCTTCATGACGACTGAAATTTCTTTCTGGTATTATAGTTTATTTCATTGGGATGTATACTTATTAGGATAAGTCGAACAACAAATATAATACCTTATATGCATGTAAAAAAGTTTCTTTTGAGCTCATTTACTTTTAAAAAGCCGATGCATTATTTCATTATAGCCATCTTCGATGCGACAAACATGTATTGTGACGGAACGAACAAAAACTGCATAACAAAAATAGCTGGAGAAATAAAGAGATTCTCTCTTGCAGAGCTCAAGCAAGGCGATAGAGTAGTGAAGTGAGTTGAAAACAGAACTAGAAACACAAGTCAAGGAATAAAGAACTAAGTAATTTCGTAGAAATGTATGTAACTGAACGCCTATGCCATTAAATCATCGCCAAAACGAAGCTGTGTTATTTAAATGAAAGCTAGCTAAAGGAAAATAATAACATTATGATTGCCATAAAATAATTTTAAAATTATATGTAGTTGTATAAACTATAATTTAAATATTCTTAAATTTTAACATAAATTAAACTAATTTATTTGACTATGATAATAATTATAATGTTGCTACCGTTCAATCGTGATCTCGTTCTTATAAAGAATTTGTAGGCCTTATCTCTAGTTAAAAATACTTCAAATACATTGTGTTTGTATGCAAATATGTGTTGGCATATTCACACACACAGTTCAATGTTGTAACTAATATTTCAGTACCTAAAATAATACTTTTGGCAAAATCAATGCTAACAAATATTCCGAACTAAATATAATATTAACACTTACATACATATAGGTATATAGACGTGGCTGTATGAATGCATATACCAGTGTGTGTTTATGAAGGTCCGATGCGCACGGATCACTTATGATATAGCGCAGCTTATTCCACTTATTATTTCTGCTACATTATGTAAATACAAAATTTGCTTAACAGTCTTTAATTGTTATCTCAAATGAAACAGTTCTTTTTTGCGTGATCATTTGAAGTCACTTGCGATTATTTGAAGTTATGAGGCTTTGGCGAATTGTATAACTGAACTCATTCGCATCACCTTTGCATCGGTTTCATGGTTAGCATTGCCAACCGCGTCGATGGTAACATGACTTGCTTCAACACTGCTCGAGGTCAGACCGATGTGGCCAAGTGTCTTCTCCATTTCACGTGTGGGCACATTTAGAGCCGTCGCTCCGATTGGTGATCCTTCGTGCATGTAAAGTTTACGTTTGCGCAACGGTAGTGTCATTATATCACGATCGGCCATCATCATGGAGTCGCTCTCGGGTGATGATGAACGTTCTGGCGATTCGGTGGAGGAACGTAATGGCGCTATTGCAGCTTCCACTTGACGCACAATCTCATTGTTGAGTAGCGAAGGCCTATCAAAAGAAAACGAAAAATTTACTTTGAGTTTGGTCTTTAGACATAAGTGTAAGTAATCGAACAATGTATTGCTCATGAAACAAGTATAATTTAATACCGACAGCTTGACGCTACCATATAGGTAACTCCTATCGTGAGTTAAAAAACATATCAAAAAGTAACCATGCATAAATAAATAATCCACCATATGAGATGGGACTTATAAAACAAATTGTTCAGGAGAAAAAAATTGTTTTATAGAAAACTATGAGCGGATGAACTCGGCAATCCAAAACTTGACTGAATCCAAAACAATTTCTCATGTAGAGAAGGGCAAGAAAAGCTTATGATGATGATTTTTAATATGCTGATATTTCTAACTGTTGCTGGTTAGTACTTACTCATACTTAGGCACTGGGGCGTACCCCTTGTGCAGACCATGTCGGGCAAGCTCGCCTCGTTTGTAATGCTCAATCAACTCGTTCGCCTCACGTGTATCATCGTATTGCGACAAATCATGACTAATGGAAAGGTCCTGTGATGCAAACGATGACGTTGGCATGGGAGACGCCATTAAACTAGAGCGCTCAATATCGTAAACGGGTTCATTCATTTGCTCCTGATATTGATAATCATGGCTTCTATGTTGTAGTTGGAATTGGTTTTGGTATTCATGGTGTCGTGTCTGCTTAAACTGTATTCCCGCAAACGTAACTTCCTCGTCACGTGGAGAATCTAACATGTCACGTCGCCTCACAATAGATGCAGCTTCAAGTAATGCTGGATTGATAGTCGGTGGTTCGAGTTCAGACTGATCGAAATCAATGCGTTGTTGCTGTAGCTGGTGATAACTGTAAGTTGGTGGAACTGTTTGCTGATGATAGTTTAATGAATTTTGTGTTTGATTTGGATAAACTTTCGTAGTTGCTAATTGATGTAACTCTGTTTGTGGATGTTGTTTGCTTAGATCTGTTGGTAGATCTTCAATTAAATAAGTAAATGTGTGTTGTGCATTGTTGTCAGTCGAATTCATAGCGGCTAAGGAGATGGATAATTGACGATTATTGCTGGCACTAGCTACTCCACTGTCGCGGCTCTGATGGTCGATTTCCAGTACTTGTTGTGTTTGTGGCGATGTGGGCATAGATTCAGGCACACCATCAGAAAGACGAGATGTAGATGCAAGCGATGAGCTTGGTGATATTGTGGATCGTGGCGAATTTGGCGATGGTTTGTTAGAAGTGAGTTTTTTTATGGATTGAACGCGACTACGCTTTGTTTTGCGCGGTTTAGAAGGCGCCACATCGGAAGGAGTAGCTGATGAAGGTGAAGCAGGCGTTGGTGAAGGTGAAGCTGGTGCAGATGACGCTTCGCCACTCGAACTGCTGGATGCTGAGTTGCTGGTGTTGTCGGCAACCACTACACCAGCTATAACTCCATCCTCATTATCTGGTAACTCTTTGGCATGACCTTTAATATGCGCTTCCATCTCTTTTTTGCTCCCAAAAGTCCTGTCGCAAATTGTACATTTATAGCATTTGGATCCATAGTGCTGTACGCGATGTAGTTTGAGCACATGATTGTAACCAAAATCGCGGTAACATATATCGCAATGATAAGGTTTTTCACCCGTGTGAGTACGTGAATGCACTTTCAGTTGTTTGGAGCAAGTAAAGCCCTTACCGCAACCTGCAACGGGACATTTATATGGTTTCTCGCCCGTATGCGTACGCATATGTATGACCAGTTGCCCAGACTGTATAAATGTTTTCTCGCAGACAGAGCATTTATGCGGCCGCTCGCCGGTGTGTATGCGCATGTGGCGATGCAATTTACCCGAATGTTCGAAAGCTCGGTCGCAGACATCACACTTATACGGTCGCTCTTTGGTGTGTATGCGACGATGGACTTGTAGATTCTCCTTCACACTGAACAGTTTATGACAGAACTCACATTCGAAGGGACGTTCGCCGGTGTGCGTCCGATAATGACGGATCTAAAGTGTTGTAGAAATAAGTACATATATACTCGTATGTTAGCTGAAATAAAAAATCAAACTTTTAATTGAACTGAACTTACCAGCCTAGCAGGCACCGCAAATGTTTTTTGACAAACATTACACTGATATGGATCACCTGTCATATTTGGCATTTTTGGTATACCCGCTGGTGTAATAGCTTCGTTGATTTCGACCCGTCTGGTAGACTCTGCTGTGGAAGCACCAACTAAGTCTGTGCTCTTCGCATGCGATTTGGTGTGTGAGGTATGGGCTGACTTACTACCGAAGGTCATTCCACATTGCTCGCATTTAAATTTAGGCTTATTTACAGTTTGTTTGCGGTTTACGGTGCCTCCGCCATTTCGTGACAACGTCGTAGCTGTGGCATTTATTGTTCTGCCAGATATCGCAGTTCCATATATGTCGATATTCGGCTCTGCTTTGATATTGCCAGGTGAAATTTTATTCTCTGCAGTTATATGTGTCACATTGATGGGTATAATACTTGTATGAGGTAATGATGTTGATGCTAATTGCTGTTGTTGCTGCATTATTGTAATATTGCTGTTGTTGCTGTATAAAAACGGAGCGCCTTGTTGCAATTGATGTGCTTCTAAGATTCTTGTTGTTGTATTGGAAGTTAATTCTGTTGTTGTCTGTAGCGGGGTGCAGAATTGGGCTTGATTAAGCTTCTCTGTCTTAATAACCAGTGGTGAAGATTGATGATAAACCATTTTATTTGGTGTCTCTGCAAGAGAAGAGCAAACGCAAGTATAAGTAAATGTCGAAAATATATTAACGGATCATTTTAAATATTAGCATATATGTAGAGTACAACAGTGTTGACCGAATAGATCAAATGGAAAAAGATGTCCAAATTTCAGAAAAGTTTCGGGCTTGTATATTTGTACCTTGATAAAAAAAGTGAGGATCAGGTGTGGTAAAATTTCCCCATACTAACTTTTGTAGTAAAAATAATTCCGTTTAGAAAAATGAAAATTACTGAGCCAACAAGCATGCTTTACAATTATCTTCTTAACCTATTCTAACTTTGAATTTTATCGTTTTATTATCATAACCGAGTACCAAGATTTACATGTATGTATCTTGTATCTGAGCCTTTCAAACTAAGAGTTTCTGCTTTTTGAAAAACTTTAAAAAGTGTGCGTGACCTCACGTTCTAATAGGTTAAATATACTCACCAATCGCTAAAGGTATATCAACCAAAAACTTTTTAGCATTTCATAATTCGTAAGAAAATAGGCGCGATATTAACAACTCATACCCCATACAACGGTCATTCTCATAAAGATAATACTGGCTGTTTTATACCCGGCAACTCATACTCTTGATCTTGAAACTTCGGCTCGGTTGGGCTTCTGTGCATTCAGCAAATTTTTTCGAGCGCCAGTCACTAGATTGTTGGACATTTTCGGCATTATATTCATAAACCCACGTCTCGTCACTTGTGATTATGAGTTTGATGAATGTAGTGTCCTCAGCTACGTTGTTAAGCATTTCTTTTTCGACCTCTACTCGATGTCGTTTTTGCAAAAGAGCCAAGCCTTTTGGTTCAAGTCTAGCATTGTCACGCTTCGTACCCATAACATTAACCAAATGTGTCGAGTCGATCCATAACAAATGTTGAGATCCACTGTTAGCTCTCTGATGTTAACATGCTTTTTAAATTTTTCGAAGTTATCGTCAGTAACGGACGGACAATTCGGAGAAGGCAAGTTTTCGATGACTTCACGACCTTCACTGAATGCTTTCTGCCTTCAAATATTTGTGTTGGTGATAAAGTAGACTCCTCAGAACATTTCTGCAACATTTTCAACGATTTCGTAGCCGTGATTCCATTGGAAACACAAAAGTTCAAACAAGCTCGTTGCACTAATGTGTCTACATATGTATGCAATTCTTATCTTAACTGCTGAAATACATATATATATTTTGATCTATCTACTTACAAGTATCCATATATCGAAACTCATTTTATAATTTCATTTTACGCTTAGCTGTGAAGTTCTTACAAAGTAAATTCTAAACATAATTTGATCAGTGCCTCTGACACTCACAAATTACGAGAGTATAAAAAGTTCGATTGCACTCGAACTAAGCTCTTCCTTACTTCTTATAAGGAATTAATTGATTAATTTATTTGATTTATGCTAAATTTCCAAAGGAAGCATTTGTATTAGTAGTAGGAACAATGCCTAAGTAATATAAAGATATGATGTGGATTGCAAAGCATTTTAATTTAGTTATTCTGTGCGTAAAAAGTCCGATATCTTAGTATGCTGGTATGTACGGCTTTTTTCATTTTCAAATGCATAGCATACCCTGAAATATCAGACTTGTACACATACATTTTAGTGTTATTTTCTAACGATTTTTGTATGACCCCAGTGAAGTTGCTCAATAATCCCACTAGACGTTTAAATGTTTTGCCTATTTTGCAACTGTATGCACTGGGCATGGAATTTATGTACATAAGTATTTGGCTTGCACCGGCGCAATATAATGAAGAAAGTAATCAACTATTTGAGAACTACAGGCATGCGCAAGGCAGCGAACACGGTGAGCACTAGCCTTGGTTCACTCACATGTGTTAAATGTACATATGTACAAGTATATCAGCCTTTGCTTTCATATCCACCCTGTCGTCGTTAATTTATACAAACATGTACGCTTGTATTAGTTTATGCCACAACGCCACTGCCACCATCAACACTACCCAAATGAAACCATGGTTTACAACACCATGGCAAACTACAGCAATAACAAAGTGCAAATTCAATAACCTACATATGTACAAGTATGTATGTGTGTATATTTGCATGTGTACGATAGTCAACGATGGTGAGGTTGGAAAATGTGCCGATTGAAGCAATCGGAAAAGCCACCCTTTAGAGCTGTGAGGGCATACGAAATCACCCTCTCTCAACCCACTACCGAGTGCCTCCAGCGGCAAGAGAACCTTTCACTTTCGAAAAGCACCGTCAAGACTACATATACATCTACATTAAGTTGAAATAGACATAAGGATGTATAATTTATTGTATTTGGCGTTCAAAGGATTTAATTTTTCTTCGTTTCTTTGGCAAATAATAGAAAGTGTTTGGTTATTATTGGGACGCAAATGTAACAAATATTTATAATATATTGAGAAGCGCATAAGTGTGTATAATAACTTAGCAAAACAACCCCGCTTAACCAGCGACGCTTTTGCGATCAGGCGGTGTGGGTGTTTCCCGATTACCGTTGTTCATGGCAAAAGCTCAGTTTCGTTAATAAATAAAGACAGATTTTCCAATGCTTACATATATATATGTACATATGTATATATGATTTTATATCCTTCCTTTCGAACTCAATACATACACAAAGAAATGTGTGTCAGAGAAAAAGAGAGAGTTCTAGCTTTCATATGTCGTTAACAAATGTGGGAGCTTTTTACGTCTTTGACGGAAGGAAAGCGAAAACTAATTATGCACGTACACGTAGGTTTCTGTGTTTGTTTTATGCTGTTTGTAAATATGTATGTTAGGAAACGCACCTTTCTTAGCAACGTTAGCAGAGAAATCTCCAGTGTTCCTTTTATTCCTTACTCGTCTGCTCATGGTCTTTTGGCTGTCGTTTGGCGTTTTCTTCGGTGGCGTTGTCGTTGTCGTTATCTCCATTAGCTCTGTGCCCGATTTGGAGAGCACATCCTTAATCCAGTTTTGTTTTGAACGCCAGTTGTTGCCGTTGTTGGCGCTTTTGTCATTGTTGCTGTTACTTTGTGCCATTTTGTGATTAACGCATAGTTTGATTTGGTTTTACGTATAAGCTATGTTTATGTATGGATGTACATATGTATAATTTCTCTATATCAATGAGTGGTGTTGCAAGCTGATGCTTTCCTATCTAACTAATCGTTATAATTGTTTATTCGCCTCGCTAACATTTGCAGTCTTCAGAATCAGTCATTGGTTGGAATTTTGTCTTAAATCAGTCATTCATATTTTCCGTGTCAGTCTCAGAACAGTATCGAGGTAGTTGGTTGGAGTTGGATTTTAAAATTACATATCTTTATAGCTTCCAAACGTGCTGATTATCTATTATATCGTCTTTGCATTACATGCATATGGAGTACATGTATTCTTACTGTTCTTTACGGTTCTTAACAGTGCATTTCTTTGTCATTTTCCGGATTACGCTTTTTAATATTTAGTTTGCCCCATCTTTTTATTAGTTTTGTTTGCCCTTTAATTTTAGATGTTTTCGCTTAGTTAAATCATTTTTTTTATAACTTCGGAAGTTTAATTTTTGTTTGCAATCTCGTACTTTTTATCATTTTTTATATTCTGTTTTTTTATGCTTAAATAATGTAGATTTACTTAGTTATTTGTATAGTAGTTTAATAAATTTTAATGCTTATTATCTATTTTATTAAATTATTTAGTATGTAAAATATTATAGCTTATTATTATTATTGTTTCATTTATATCAACCAATTCTCTTATATTTTTATTTTATTAACTTTCTTTATTGAAAACTTTAAACCACCAAGTTTATTCTCTTTCCGCTCTTTGTTTTCAACGCTTGTTTTTTGAATATATTCAACACTTTCTTCAAACCTCTATAGTCACTTTTGGAATAGCTGCAAAAACTGTCGTTCTGCTCATTTCTTCGCATTCTCTTAAGCGTCTTTAGTATATATTTCATGTGTGTATTAGATTTGACGTTTTTCACATCGGCCATTTTTAAAACATTTTATTAAAATTTAACCATATAACATATGACTTAGAAGAATCATTGTTTCTGTCACGATTTAAGTTTACTGTAATATTTTTTTTTTTTTTTTGTGTTTTTTCTCTTATTTCAGAATATTTGATTCAGCTTTCCACATGGCCATTTCGTTTACAGCGAATGCCAAGTTCAACGTTAGATAGTGCGCCGCAGACTGGTGGGTGAGCAGCCGAAAATTATGCTTTCTACCACCATGTTGCACCTAACAAGAACTTCCACCACCACCGTCTACAGAGTACATTGATTCAACACATACGTCATATCTTTATACATATGTATAGGTATGGGTGCACATAATACGCAATAAAAACAACGGGACTTACCCGTACGTAATGTACAAGAAGAATTTCCCCCGAATCATAGGCTGCAGAGAACATCCCAACAAGTTTGAAATTAGATAAAGCTACGCATTTTTTTTCAAATGTACTCATGTAAGTCTACATGTCTGATACACTCAGTTCTATGCGATGCTTACAACGGTGCGTGAGTGACGTTCTTACAAACTATTTTTGTGTGTGAGGTAAATTAAATAAAAATCACTCAAACACAAAGCTTTATCAGTTGAGACTAGTATTCGTTATTCGTAAGCAAATGAGTGACACGACTTTCGTAGCATATTTTCAAACAGAGTTGTAATGTTTGATTATTGTTTTCCTCTGGCACAATTAGGGCGAATAACATCCGTCATCAAATATTTAGATACTAATATAAGTGTTAGACACAAAATATATGTAAATACTAATAAAAGAGTTTACTTATATATGTATGCATGTAACTCTAACATCTACTTTGGTTATGTCATATTCCGGTATTTTTCGTATAGTATTATCAACAAATCTACCTAATTCCTAAATTTTAGCAACTAAACTCGATTTATTTTAATTAAAACTCATTTTAATTACTAGACTACCACGATTATATTTCTATTAAGCAGGAGCCACTTTACATAGACGGGTGCTATTGTTGACATAACATGCTGGCAACATATCAATGCTTAGTACATAAATATATGAATATAAAATACAATTTTTGATAAAATAAATTTTTGTTTTCGTAAACTTCACACTGGTATGAAAAACAGAGAGTTTTTGGAAGTATAGTTTTGTCACTGCTTTAAAATTTCTCCTTCGAATGGACGTATCTCAATATACAATATAAGGTTAGATGATCAATAGGGTAGGTAAAAAAAAACGAATATTTTTTTTCGCTTGTTACTATGAAAAATAGGTTCTTATACATCTCCAAGAAAGACTCTCTAAGTATCAGCACTTAATTGTAACGGGAAGTTACAGTTCTTTATTTATTTATTCCTTCCAACTACTTAAATACTGTTATAAAATATGTGTTTGGTTTTAACTGGTTTGTGTCCGATCGAGATTCATTCTTCCTTTTTGACTAAAATACTTCCACTTCTTCAGTCATTCCATGCCATAACGACATTGCTATTAGGTTACAACTCCGAGTTTATTTCTGCCACAAATCCACAATAAATATGTTAATAGAGAAACTAACAAGTTAGGAGAACCAAGATGTTTAACCTAGGTGTTCCTTTCTGATGTATGCTTTAATTCACAAATTTGGTAAACTATTTCATTTTTCGATTGGAGAATGTCATTTTGGAGACGTTTAAGAATATCACAGTACTGGGCGTATTTCCTTGTGTATCATACATACATACATACATCATACATACGTAGAAATAAACAAGCTTTTGAGATTAATCACGCTTAAATGTAAATACTTATGTATATGTGCATACTCGCTTGTTCTATATGTTCTACATTCATTGATATATAAAAAGCTCTGAGTTAGACATGTATGTATTATATAATATATCTAAATAAACACTATGCATACATACTATGTATATTTGTGCATGATTATGCTCAACTGCTAATATTCCTCGCTCTCTTTTCTTCATTTTTCCACAGAAATATACATACATATGTAGTACACTCATTCATATTGTACATACTATTATTTTTCGGTAGCTATGTAGTATATTTCTTTAGCTTTGTTTAATAATAAAAAAGTAGCACAAAAGTTCATTAACATTGCCGCATACGAAAAAAAGAATAAAAAGGCAGAACTAAAGCGAAGAAACCGGAAAAATTTAAAAACGCAGTGTTCATGAAATCGTGATTGGGGCACAACTAAAATTTCGATGGCCGGTCGGCCTTTGTACTTTTTATAATTTTTTTTTGTTACCAATATACACGTACATTTATTGTAAGCATATATTCTGAATAATGTACATACTTAATTATATACATATGTATGTACAATACATCAAAATTGGAGCTTGGCAAGTTCATTAGTTTTTTTCTTGTATGCATATACATACATACATAAGTACATGTGATTGTATGTATATGTATATATTTGGAGTGTAAATTGTTGTTGGCTTATAGTTGTGTAGCGATGATGTTCATGTGCCGCATAAAATATCTACCTGTCCATTAAGAGTAAAAGCGTTATATTACTGTTACTTTGTTGGGATAGCACTGAAACCGGCATAAATATGCATATGTATGTCTATGTGTACATGTGTACGTACTTATATTGTATACACAAAGTAAGTAATAAAAAAGTGATGTTATTTTCGAAGGCTGTTGGTAACCATTCTCATTCCAAATTTTAGTAATACGTGTAATAGATAAGCCGACAAACTGTCGGGGTAACATTAGTGAGTTCGACAAACTGGTTGCAACGAAAGTGATACATTATTGGGCCAAAGATACAATTGGTTAGGAAAGCTTAAATTTACAATTTTTAATGCATACAAACAAACACACATACATGTGCGTATGAAGCACAGACCCATGTATACATATATGTATACATAGATTTATAAGTGTTTACATATACACAGTTATATTATATTTAAGAACGTATTGGCTTTGTGGCGTCACCCTCCAACAATAGGTGTATTGACTGGCAGACTTTTGGACGTACATACATACATACATACATACAGAAAAGTACATATGTATGTATGGAGATACAAATAGTCATTATTATCGTCGCGTTCAACTTTGCTCTTCAGCAAGAGGTCAATGAACACTTGCGTAATTTGTGCACATATCCATACATACACATACATGCATGAATGTAGATACTTATTGTCTCGATGCGCATATACAAATTAGGACAAATGTACTTATGAATTTGGAAGCTCCTTTTCTATTTTTGGAATTGAGTATGGTGCACACACATATGACCATACGTATGTTCATACAATACATTCTCGTATGTACCATTAAGTGTAAATTTATATGCATACTTCAATTTAAACCCTTAACGCTCCTTCTATATTTTAGATTATTTACTTTAGTTTATACTTGTGCCCATAGTCTATTTAATCATTGCTGATCATAAATCCATCAAAGCTGAAAATTGTCAGTTATGACTGAAAAAGTATCACAAGTGAAAAATTCTTTTGCGTAGTATATTTTACAGATTTTGTTTTTTTTATAAATTAAAAAAACTTTAATTAATATTTATTATAATAATTACATAAATATATAAAAAAGGTTGCAACAAAAATATAATTAGATAATAAATTATGAAAAGAAATCTTCACTTGATTCCATGCTTGCTCCTCTCAAATGCTCTGCTGTATGTTTTTCTCCAGTTCAGGGATATTTCGGAATTTAAAATGCCTAAATAAAAATGAACTAAAAATATAATTTTATTTGAAACTTAATAATAACTTATGTATATTATTTTTGAAAACTCCTTCGTTAGTTGTTTATTTTTTTTTAACACAAAAAGAGTTATTGCACAGGAGCACGGAACACTTTTGGTTCATCGCACGGAATAACAGCTACATAGCTATTTCACAACTTCTCGAAACTCCTATGGAAATGTGTGTTGTATCTTTTCGACATATACAAAATTAGCTTGGAAAATTTGTAAACATTGACAGTCATTATACTCTCGCAACCTGTTGCTACAGAGTATAATAGTTTTGTTCACCTAACGGTTGTTTGTATCACCTAAAACTAATCGAGTTAGATATAGGGTTATATATATATAAATGATCAGGATGAAGAGACGAGTTGAAATCCGGGTGACTGTCTGTCCGTCCGTCCGTCTGTCCGTCCGTCCGTCTGTCCGTCCGTCCGTCCGTGCAAGCTCTAACTTGAGTAAAAATTGAGATATCTTTATGAAACTTGGTAGACAGGTTTAATGGTACCGTGAGACGGTTGGTATTGCAGATGGGCGTAATCGGACCACTGCCACGCCCACAAAACGCCATTAATCAAAAACAAATAACTTGCCATAAATAAGCTCCGCAATAAGATACAAGACTGTTATTTGGTACACAGGATCACATTAGGGAGGGGCATCTGCAGTTAAAATTTTTTTTTAAAAGTGGGCGTGGTCCCGCCTCTAATAGGTTTAATGTGCCTATCTCCTAAACCGCTAATGCTATAATAACAAAATTCACTAGAAGCAAATGTTTTTAGCACTTCTATTGATGGTGTGAAAATAGTTGAAATCGGGTGGCAACTCCGTCCACTCCCCATATAACGGTACTGTTAAAAACTACTAAAAGCGCGATAAATCAAGCACTAAACACGCCAGAGACATTAAATCTTATCTCTGAGATGGTATAAATTGGCTTTATAGAAACCGCGTTCAAAATTAGTCAGTGGGCGTGGCACAGCCCACTTTTAGGTGAAAACCCATATCTTGAGATCTGCTCAACCGATTTCAACCAATTCGGTGCATAACGTTCTTTTCATGTTTCTATGTCATAGTGCGAAAATGGGCGAAATCGGACTACAACCACGCTTACTTCCCATGTAACACCATTTTCAATTCCATCTGATTCTTTCACTTTCCACTATGCAAATCAGGTAACAATGATTATATCGGGGTAAAACTTTGCGTGAATAATGCAATTAAAGTATGCCACCCTGCGGCCAAAAATTGTCTAAATCGAACCAAAACTGTTCAAACCCCTAAGTACTAAATATGTGGACCCCAGTGCCTATAGTTGACCCTCTACCGAAAATATCAGTCAATCCACAAAGAAATCTCAAACGAGTATACCATTTGACTTTGCGAGAGTATAAAATGTTCGGTTACATCCGAACTTAGCCCTTCCTTACTTGTTTTACTGTTCATTTGACTGTCAGTGACAGTACTAAAGAATGCAGCTATTTCATTCTTACATATGTAAAGCTATAGTAAGCAATATTAATCGTAAGTGTTGATTTTTAAAAATAAAAGTGATGGTCAATTGACGGGTACTGACATAACGAATGTGATTGTATTGGTGAACCCATCAGCAGTTTCTTGTAGGGTTACCCCTAGGTTTGCAACTCCATTGAATTGAAATTAAAGCAATTCAACTTTACATCAGCCGAACTATTTTTTGGGATTATGAACTTGAACTAAATTCAGTCGAAGTTACATTGTTGTTAATCTAAAGTAAAGATTTGACAGATAATTAAGCAGCGATTCAATTCAGTTATTGCCCATGAAAAAGCTATCGTGAGCACTCAAACCCATTGGATCTTTCTAACACCAAATAAGCTAAACTTTTATTGAAGAGTAGAGAGAGAATGATTGATTGTGATAGTGCAACCTACCATATCTATAGTTGATATACCCTAAACAGGGTATATTAAGTTTGCCACGAAGTTTGTAATACCCAGAAGGAAACGTCGGAGACCCTATAAAATATATACATATATGTAGCTGCATGACGAGCTGAATCGATTTAGCCATGTCCGTTTGTCCGTCCGTCCGTCTCTCTGTACATACACGAAGCTGTTCATTTGTCGAAACCACCTATATCGGACTAATATAGCATATAGCTGCCATACAAACTGAACGATAGGAATCATGTGCTTGTATGGAAAACTTCCTCATTTGAAGAGATAATATGAGTAGTAGACACAAAATATAAATAATAATAAAATAATTTACTTACACTCGCCAGAAAAATTATCCGTACACCTCGACACCGAAACAATAAACTGAGAAATTTGTGATGAAATAACTTATTATATATAAAAATAGTATCCAAAAGTTTTATTGAGTATTTTTACTACACTTTCCATGAGTTTTTTTTTTAGACATACACTTTAAAAAAAAAATTTCACAGAACAAAAACAAAAAAAGCTCACATAATGAAACAGAAAAAGTATTCGTACATTTTGATTATAATTAAATATAATTAAATTATTTTGGAAAAATTTAATATCCTAATAACTAGTAGGATAGCCCTTACGTTTTAGGACCTCGGAAAGTCGATGTGGCATTGAATGAACTAGTTTGGATGTGTCATGATTTGTAATTTTCGCCCATTCATTTATGATCACATTTTTGAACATTTCTCTGGAGGTTATGGTGTGTTGGCGGATTCTGCGCTACAGTAAATCCCACAAATGCTCGATGGGGTTGAGGTCTGGAGATTGAGGTGTCGAGCGCAATTGATTTTTTATGTTATAAAGCAACCAAAGCCTGGTATTGTGCGCCGTGTGCTTTGGATCATTATCCTGTTGGAACCAAAAATCATCACCAAGCCCCAACTGCCGGGCACTTTCCTTCAAATTATTTTTTAAAATACTTAAATAGCCGAATTGATCCATTATTGTATCTATAAAAACGAGTTTGCCTACTCCTTCTGCCGCCATACACCCCCATACCATCACACCTCCTCCGCCATGTTTGACGGTGGGTAAAAGATTTTCTTTATCAAGTGCAGTACCACTCTTACGCCACACCAACTTTTTTCCTTTAATGCCAAAAGTACAAAACTTGCTTTCGTCGGTGAATAAGACACGTTCCCAAAACTCCCGAGGCTTGCTGATATATTTGTTTGCAAAATCCATACGTTTCTGTCTATTTACTTCGGATATAAAGGGCTTCCTACGCGCTACACGTGCTTGATACCCATCTTTCTTCAAAAATTTTCGTACAGTATCTTCATGGAGATCCTTGTCGAACAAATTTTTAATATTTTCACATATTTTGAAGGCAGTAAGTCGAGGATTTGCTTTTACTGACTGTAATATTGTTCGTTTTTCTCGAACGGTTAATATACTTGGTCGACCAGAGCGTGGCTTTGGCACAATCGACTTAGTTTTTTTGAATGCTTCCACCACATACTGCACAGAAGAATGTGTCCTTCCTATCATTTTAACTATTTCTCGGAATGATTTGCCTTCTTTTCTGAGTTAAAAATAATTTTTCTTTCGCCAGCACTAATTTCTTTAATTTTAAGGGTCATCGCGAATTTATGCACAATGAAAAATTATAATAACTTTAAGGTCAACCGTCAAGTTCGAGATTAATTATACAATACAATATAAGCGCTTAAGGGAAATATCCCGTTTTGATATGTACGGATACTTTTTCCGTTGAATTTAAGTAACTGTGTTTAGTTTTTGTTCTGGGAATTTTTTTAAAGTGTTTGTCTAAAAGTAAAAAACGTATGGAAAGTGCAGTAAAAATATTAAATAAAACTTTTGTATACTATTTTTATACATAATAAGTTATTTGATCACAAATTTCTCAGTTTATTGTTTTCATGTCGAGGTGTACGGATAATTTTTCTGGCGAGTGTATATACAAATTAAACGTAACTTCACACTGATATGAAAAACTGAAAGTTTTTGAGGCCGCCGATATCAAACTACTATAGCATATAGCACATAAAAAGAACGATCGGAATCAAGTGCTTGTATGGAAAACTTTTTAATTTGACGAGATATCTTCATATTGTCCACGGCAACGGTGTAATTTTCGAAAAAATTGTTCAGATTGAGTCGCTATAGCAGATAAGTATGTAGCTGCCATACAAACTGACCAATCAAAGTTCATGTAAAGAATTTTTGTATATGTGAAGGGTATAATTGCTTAGGTGCAGACGAAGTTTACATATTTTCTTGTTATATCCTAAACAGGGCATATTAAGTTTGTTACGATGTTTTTACCACCAAAAAGGAAACGTCGGAGATCATATAAAATATATGCATATACATACACATACCCAATAAAGTCTGTGTTCACCCGACACATTTTTTTTTTAAAGAATTCAAGATGTATGTTCTTATGTTCAAAATGTAAAAAAAAAAACATTTATATTCCTATTTTCATTTTTGTGATAACGGGATTTAAGTGTAAGAACAAGTAAACATAGGCACCATTAAGTCTGCGTTCAGTGAATTTGTTTCTTCTTTTGGCGTAGATTCTATTCGCAACTTGTTGCTACAGAGTATAATAGTTTTGTTCACCTAACGGTTGTTTGTATCACCTAAAACTAAACGAGTTAGATATAGGGTTATGTATATATAAATGATCAGGATGATGAGACGAGTTGAAATCCGGGTGACTGTCTGTCCGTCCGTCCGTACAAGCTGTAACTTGAGTAAAAATTGAGATATCTTTATTAAACTTGGTACACATGTTTCTTGGTACCGTGAGACAGTTGGTATTGCAGATGGGCATAATCGGACCACT